TTTAAAGTTCTCTCCTACTCTGTTATTATTGTAGAAGAAAGTAACTTCATTCATAATTGAAACAGAAAATTGTAGAGGCAGCTAAGTAAATGTTTTAAACAGGGCAAACCACCCTATTGAATTTTAAATTGATGCCAAATACCATGCCAAAATTGTCATTCTATGTCAAGCCAAATCTTGCCTTACCAGAAGGAAAAAATACTATGCTCTCATGTTTCTATAGATAAGTTAATAGGAATTTCAAGTTTTAAGTTATTTATTTGTTATTTATTCAAGTTATTTATTTGCAAGTTGTTCTCATCTGAAAATAATTATAGGTTTGTCATTCATAAGGTAGCTTCAAAATATGATCTAAGACATACAATCATTGATATTAAAGTTACTTTTCATAAAAAGTTAAATTTTTAAATTTAGTAATACTTAACTTTAAAAATATTAATTAATGGATTCTAAACTCCAGCCAGTACATGTTTTGAACAAACATCAAAATTGCTTGATTTATCAGACTTAAAATATTGAGTAATAAAAAACTTGTTCCCTTGGGAGGAAACAAGTTTAAAGATGTGTACGTGAAAAGCAATATCTGATAAATATTCATAATTATTTTTAAATCACAGAATTTCTACTCTGGAGACCTCAACAGAAAGAAGTGATAATAAAATACATACAATTTTTATATCATGAATAAATCTCAAGTTCTATCCATTGTCAATGTAATTGTTTTAAATGATTATAAATATTAGTTCTGAATGAATTATCAGGGAGTTTTGAAGAAATTTATGGTTGCAGAAAAAAAAGAATGAGTTTCATGACTAAAATAGTAAATATATAATTTATACTTTCTAGGACTTTCTGGATTTTATGCCAACCTTTATGTTATTGTAGGTGTTTATTTTACTATTCTTTTGGATTGTCCTTTCCTAAACAAAATACTCAAACTTTAGGGTCCTGGAGTGGGCCATTTTGGTTATTCTTAGAAGCTAATGTTGAATATATGTTATCCGTATTTCATAACATAAGAGAATACTCCAAGATACAGAGACATATATTAAATCATACACATTTGATCAGACAATAGAATATGAGTGAGTGCATGTTAAAAATGATGGCAACTGAGGACATGTTATATAGTATTTCAAACAAACATTGCATTGACTCAATAGAAATTTTAGAAATGTATAGATATGTGGGTCAGGGACACCTAATTTTAAAAACAATAATTCTAGTTATTGTCTCTCTATGTGTCATATATGTATATGCATACATATGCATATATATTTCAATTGAAAAATAAATAATAATGTAACTTGTCATCTTGAGGAGAGGGAATTATTTTTGGTCTTGGACACAATATTATGTATAAATTAAGAATGTTATGGTCCTGAGAATTATCTTTCTTTTTCACTGAATATATTTAGCAAAATCAAATTATTTATCCAGTATTTTCTATAATAATTTTAAAAATATTTTGAATGTTTTATTAAGGAAATACATAATATTTGATTATATGCAAAAGATGTTCAATTTTAGTTCACAACCATATTAAATAAAAACATTTCACTTACTTAGTCAATACTTCTATCTTCAGTTGCCTCTATAGGGTTGAATTTCATGTATCTTTTTGTTGTTGTAAGGACACATCTTCAGATTATTTTTTTTCTTAATCTTAATTTAAAATGAGGACTCACTCTGGATTAGTGGTTTAAATTAAGTCATTTTAAAATTTTCCTTCCACTATGGACTTTATGTATTTAAGGAAAGAATAACAGTGTCCCTAACTTATTACATGGATGGTAGAGAAAAATCATATGTATATTAGGTTTAAACTACCAATGTATTTCGTCAGTATTTTATGTTGGCATATTTTATTTAAAAATATCTTTATTTGATGTAACTTTTAATAATGATGTGATAATGCTATCTTTAATATTTGCTCACTTACTAGATTGCCAATAAGTGAACAAATTATTTCTTTATGAGCTTTTAATTTGAAAAAATATTTCTAATCAGTGTAACTTAAGAAATAATCAATTTTTGTTTGTAGATAATGTAAATTTTATTTACAAATTCCTTATAAGGACTTAGGTGTAAAAGAATGGTATAATTACAATGGCAACAGCTTTGGGACCATAACCATGGACAGTATAGCTTTATTGATCTTTCACTAGCATGCTAATGGATAAGGAAGATTTGAGGGATATAAGTTAGCACCTTCCTTCAGTTTCTGTTCTCGTGTTCCTACTCATAGCATTGAAATAGAGATTATTTGATGATGGTCAGCCAGCAAAGTGATAGAATTTTGAATATGAGATTAAAAGTGTAGGTAAGGGTCATTTTAGGTTTACTAGGCCCTGAAAACACAATTTATTACAATAATTTTTGCAAATAAGCATTTACACATTCTTACTAGTTTTCCAAATACATGAATCCTGATAAGAAAGGACTTACAGACATGAGGATCTCATGATAATTCAAGAAGTTTTTTTTTTGTTTTGTTTTGTTGTTTTTGTTACTTTACAGTGGAAATAAAGCTATAATACTATTTGGTTTAAATAAAGGCAAGAAAGTTATAGAAAAATTGTGTCACTATTATTTTCATTAGTCTAATAACTTCTGGGGTTTTGTTAAAGATCTTGATGTTTTCTACTAACAGGAAAAATAGTAACATGAAAAAGATGTTTGATTGAAAGCTTTATTATTAATTAGCATTGCTTATAGTTTGGCACTGTGATCTTTGTCAAAGTTTTTCATTGTTCTCAATTGGTTGTATAGATTTTGCCTTGTCTTAAACCTAAAGAAGTATCAAAGAATAGTGTAGCTAAGGAATATGCCCACATGCTAGAAACAATATCTCCATGTTTTCTTATAGGAATAAGCACATGGTTTTAGTAATCGAAATGTTTATTATTTGAATATATCTCTTTTGAGCTTTTTAAATTAAATCAATGAAACCATAAAATGTAATAATGTATCAGAGACAATTTTTTTCTCTTTGTTTTGACTTTTGTGTTTCAAATGTTTTTATTGGGTCAAGTAGAGTTTAGTGGAGAGAGCAATGGCTGGGTAATCAGGAGACCTGAGCTCTATTTCTGGCTCTGCCACTGACTAATTTTATGACCTTGGGTAAGTCATTTAATTTCTACTTTGGCTATTTAACTATAATTACCTAATGAATAGGGGTATGAAAATATATGAATGCTTTTAGCTTGCTTTTATCTATAGGTAAAAATCATTTTGTGTCAGTAGTAACATAAAATTACACAAGTAATTCAGAAGTCTTGGTGGAGCAACCATCTTGTTTAATCTAAACATTTTCTAGATTTTTTCATACATAATGAAGTTTCTTTCCTTGAGTTACAACTTATTTAAATATGTGTATTATTTGATAGAAATAATTCATTTTAACATTTGTGAAAAAGTATTTCTTCACTTTGTCGGCATGATGCATAAACAAATTTTCACATTACATATTTAAAATAAAATACTTTATGAATTCAGATTTAATACAGTTGCATTAATATTGTGATTTTTACTTTTTTATCTTTTTGGGGATGGGTAAGAGAAGATAATATACTTTTACTTTTGATGTATAGAGTCTGTACATAATTCTATAAGAATATGCTTTTCCTGGGGCTCTGCTCTTATTAGTCTCTGTGGACATAGGTGAAGAGTAGTAGGGTATAGAGAGACTTTTGTTACTGGTTTTGAATAAAGTTTGCATAGTAGCATAATGAACCTTCTAATTATCAGTATATATTAATACATATTTAATTTTTGTAATTAACAATAGGATTTATCTTTTATAATTTTGTATTTGAATACTTGTTATTTTCTTCTAATGGAATTTTTACATTCCTCACTATTCAATGATGAGTGATAGCTTGGTTATTGGAATGATTCAGTACTCTCAGTTGCTGTGATTTGAGTACATTGAATTCTAAAGATGCATTTTCCATAATACTTATGAAAATTATGTAACACAGAACTGAATTGTGAATTCTTTGATGAAATGATGTAGCACCTACCTGCCCTAATGATACAGCAATTATCATTTGAGGGTTTTGGTTTTGATTTTTTTTTCTTTTGTTCAAATATTCTAGTGCCAATTTTTTAGTTCTGGTAAAAGAGCATCTCTAGATGCTCAGTTTGATAGGATTTTTCATACTTTCAGACATATTAGTTAAATCTCTTGATGCCTTCTTAACTATCAAAAAAAGATACTCTCCAGAAAACACATCTTATCTACATGTTTGTTTTATTGTAAATATTGTGATAAAACTGTTACTCCCTGTATATTTTGACTTTCAAAAATAATGAAAGATCTTTTCTTTAATTTGAAGGTTATCTATAAATTTAAATGTGATTTAAATTAAATATATTTGCATTGGGATATATTCATTGCTCTATAGTATTGTCATGATAAGAATTGTTTGTATTAAATTGATCGATTGATCCATTATTCTGAATTTTCATTTGTGTACAAGTTAATTCAGTGAAACAAAAAAATGGAGAAAAATTATAAGGCCTTGTTTAGGCTGTTAGTGATGTTGGCAGTGATAATATAAATTCTTTACTTTCAGCAGTCATCAATCAATAAATAAATGACTCACAGATACAAGAGTACATTCCTTTTGAAATAGCAACATTTTGAACAGACTAGTAATCTCTGGTAACAGTCTTTTGTACTAATGGTGTCTCTCCTCAGCTTCAATGTCAGGATTGGTTATTCAGAATTGTAAAATATGGATACTCTATTTCCTACACTAACTCTATCTTTCTAATTCTTCTAACATGCAATAGTTTAATCAATTCTATATCAGTTCTTTCCTATTCCTCTTTGTGTCTACTTGATTATCTCTTCCTCACAACTGTGCACAGGCTTCTCTGGCAAAACGATTTTTGGCCCTTTCCCTCAGTGTCAATTTTTACCTTCTGAGTACATCCACTCACGCCCATCTCCTTTGTCTATGTCTGTCCATTACACGATGTGATCACAGAAGAAGTGGATTCAACAAGGAGAAGAAATTCAGGTCTGTCTCTTCTACTGCTTTATTCTTACTTTTTCATTTTTCTTTTCCTTAAGATTTTATCATAAATCATTTCACAGTTTGCTGTTTGTTTACAATATAATCAAATGCAGTCATTCAGATTTTAATTTTAGATGTTTATTAAAAAATATTTACCTAACGTCAAGTTGAATCAGTCATATTTATGTTATTTAAAAAATAGATTCACTTACATACTTTACAGCCTTTTAAGTGGCCAAAGGCACTGAATAAAAAATGATAAAAAGGTAAAAGAGCCTCTGCCCTAAAAGAATTTATGATCTAATGAGGAGATACTACATGTGGACATATAGATATATACAAAATAGATACAAACTAGATAATTTAGAGTAAAATATAGTTGCTGCCTTTAATTAACAAGTGATCATTAATATTTTTTTTTGCCCATTGAACTTATAAGCAGCATTTTACAATGTAAAATCCTTGTTTCAATTCCCAAAGTATTTATTGAGCACCTCTTATATACGAAACAGTATCCTTAAGTGTGACCAAGAAAAAAAAGCATAAAACATAGCCTCTTATTCTCAGAGAATTTAAGCTCACTGGTGAGATAAGATATGCACATATGAAATACAAAACAATATTACATGTAAAATGATTAAGTGTTAAATTAAGTGCAAATAGGAAATACTATGTGAGAATTTGAGAGGAATGTATTCCATGTTAGCTAGAATATAGTCAGGTAAAATAGAAGAGATACCACTTGAACTGGGCTTTCAGGACTGGTGTGCTTAGAACAATAAGAAGTCATTCCAGATGGGAGAAAAAAAATGAAAAGAAGAAATGAACAGGTGAATTTTGGGACAATAAAGACATGGAGATCTCTTATACAATGTTCACATAGCTTTGTACAGTTTAAGTGAATCCCGAGTATGTTTGACTGAATTTGAGAATGATTTTGAATTTGATTCTGTAATAATGCGAAGCCATTGAAGATTTGGTTAGAAAGGAGTGACATGATGAAAATAGTCTTTTTTAGGCATGTGAATATGACTGTGACATATAGAAAATAGGAAAAGGATTTGGCTGGAGGCAGAGGATCCATTAGGAAGCCTAAAACTAAGTATTTAAAAAATAATATGCTTAGCAATGACAAATGCTGTGGAAAGTCAAAGAGAAAAGGAGGAAGGAGTAAATAAGAGGGGATAGGAAAATAGGGAAGCATGTGAGAAAAACATATTTTACTACAATGAACTAGAAATAAGAGAAGGAAGGACACAATGGAAGAAAAAAAAGAGGGTACTAGGTAAAATTGTGAAGTAGTTGGAGTTTGTTTCTCCACCCAACAGAATGTGATGTAATGAATCTGTAATGAATGGTGGTATGATATATAATACTGATTTTGGGAAATAGCATGATAATCTAGATAGGCCAGATACAGAATTTATAAAGAAAAATAATAGGGAATAAAGTTGGAATGTTTGATTGGAGCCAGATTGTCAAAAGCTTTAAATATGAAGGCAAGAAGTATTGAATCATGAAAGCAGTAGAAAAACACTGATGATTTTTGAGCCTAGAGTAGGACATGGTAAAACTCATGCCTAAGGTAGGTTATTTTGATGAGTGTATGACGATATAGATAGAGAGTAGAAGAACTGGAATTAGAGAGACTGATTGGGAGCTTATCAAAATAGTTCATCCAAGTGGTTACTATTAGAACTAAGGTATTACCCATTTGAGTAAAGAGAAGGGGACAGATGCCAGAAATTTCGGGTGTATAGAATTGACAGAAAATGACATGTAATTTAGATATAGGTTATGAAAGAGAGAGGAATCAAATATGATTCTGAGATTGTAAACCTAAATAACTAAGGAGATTTTAGTGCTCTTGAAACTGAGAAGTTTGAAGAAGTTAATTTAGTGGAAGGTCTAGATGTTATGGTTCTGTAAATATTCATTGGACTCTCCTTTTTGTCGTCTTTCACTTAACAAAGTGAACAAGTTATTTTTAAAGGCTATTTGTCAAATTATTTTGATTTGCGTTATATCTGGTTGTGCAGTAAGGGTCCAAATGTAATGAGCACGGACCTTTAAAGTTAGGAAACTGAAATGTCATTTTTTTGGCGATTGGGATTAAATGACTTGCCCAGGGTCACACAGCTTGTAAGTGTCAAGTGTTTGGTCTGAGGGTGTATTTCAACTCAGGTCCTCCTGAGTTCGGGGCTGGTGCTCTATCCACTGACCACCTAGGTGCCTCCTGAAATGTTATTCTTTAAAGACCTATAAGATTTCCACTCATTAGGAGGAAATTGCATATTCTCCCTCCCTTCTTTTCAATAACACTCTTATCTATGTCACTGTGAACCAGGAGAAAACAAAGATCTAGCATACTATGTCCTTTCTAATATCCCTCACACTGTGTCACCCTCCAGGCAACCTATAAACCAGTGTTTCTCAAAGTATGATCCAGAGACCAACAAGGAGTCCTCATCACCCTGTCAGGGTGAGGTCAAAAGTATTTTCATAATAATACTAAGTCATTTTAATTTTTAATACAGTAAATAATGATCAATATAACCCATACACAAAAGCTCCTTATTAATTTTTAAGAGTGTAAGGGATTCTGAGACCAATAATTTGAGAACTATTGCTATAAACCAACCATTCTTTATGTCTTTTATAAACATTCCTCAATGTCAATTCTGAATATAAAGCTATTCACATAATTTTAAAAGTAAAATTTGTTTCATATTGTAATATTTCTTGGTGGAGAACCCATTAAGGTTTTTAATTTTCATCTAATTTGTTCAATTTGATAAGGCTATTTCTTAGTAAACAGTAGTCAGTTATTTTTATTGTCATGCATATGAGTTATATTATTTAAAGAAAAAATGATGCACCAAATTTAGGTAACTTCATGGCTTGGCTGCATTTAAAAACAGTTAATGAATAAGTGAAAGCCAAATACAAATGTTTGCCTCAAAACTATTCTTAGAAAAATAGTCATGCATACAATAAAAAAACAGAATTGGAATCTGTATTTACTTTGTTTTCTAAAAATTTTAATGGGATATGTATTTCTCCCCAATAATTATCATAAAAAGCAGGCTAGGGGCTCAATATTTAAATGATATAGATTTTTTTTCTTTCTACTTGAAAGTGAAATGAGATCCATAACAGAAACTATTAATGCTAAATACAATGGAATCCTGTTACAGTATGGCTGTCAGACCTGCAGTCAGGAAGACTCATCTTCCTGAGTTCAAATCTGACCTGAGACATTTACTAGCTCTGTGACCCTGGGGCAAGTCACTTAACCCAGGTTTCTCATCTACACAAATGACCCAGAGAAGGAAATAGCAAACCACTCCAGTATCTTTGCCAAGAAGACTCCAAAGGGGTCACAAAGAGTTCAAAATGACTGAAATGAAACAACAACAAATCATTACACACATTTATTTATAGCCTTTGGTCAAATTATGTCCCTGTAACATAGGAACATATAGTAAAAGCCTGATATAACACAACCTGTAAGGAAGGAATTACACCTGATAGGATTATATTTGTGTTATGAAATTATTTATTTCACTATAATAATTAAGAAGACTAGGATAAGGGAGGTTATTAATCTAGCCACTAATGTGTTGCTTTGTTGCATGCCTTTTATATTTTTAGGCTTTATTGTTAGCAAATACATACAGGTACATATAAGATTATGCTTTGCATATATGTACATAAAATAAATCACAATATTATGTATTCAATTTACCTTTACTTTGCATATATTTAACTAAAATATACTTAGTCAAGTGAAAATTTTCCAATAAATGTTTATCAAGAGGTATTATTTTTCTAGTAGTTTTTTGAAAATTAAAAATTATGTTATTTAAAATGCTGATATTTGGGAAAATTGGGAATTTACAGATGTGAAATCTACAGGAATTAATTTTAAGTTTTTCATTCCTTATTAAGTATATGATGATATTTGAGGTAGATTATTTTAAGTTTGGTTAATTTGTTTATGGAAAACTATTAGAAAGTCTTCCTTAAGACAAGATGTAATAAAGAAAAGAAGTAACTATAAGAAGGAATTAGTATTGTGGATTTATGAAGAAAGTCTTAGGTTCAGAATGTAACAAAGACCTGGGTGATAGTATTTTTTAGATATGGGAAATATAGAAATATTAATAAGATAAGAAAAAAGAAGTGGGTAAAATATGGGAAAGGGTTTTTGAAAACAGATGTGAATTAAGTAGAAACTAAATTTAGAAAATGAAAGGAAATGTTAATTTCAGAAACAAAAGAAATATAGGATTAAACTGGGGCAATAAAAAATTGAAAAGAAAAGAATTAGTACTTGATGCTGTGATTTTTTTTTTCTTCTGAGAAATGAGGTTTCATTTTAACAGTAGGGTTTCCATGATAGTAAACAAAGAGGATAAACAGAGATTAAAATGGAATTGTGAAAACTAGTTTGGATGAATTAATGGCCTAATTTAATAGAATTATTTGAATTGGAAGAGAATGACTTTAAGACCACAAGTCATCAGATGTTTTGTAACTATCTACAGGTGCATGTAGCAAATAGTGAATCGTGCTTACATGAATGTGAATAACTTAGTTTTTAAAACCTTATGGTCATACAGAGGTAGAGAAGACAGAAATTCTTTATTCAATACTTCAAGAATTCATTGTTTCATTAGTGTGGTTATTTACTCAAATAATGCAGATTATAACCCATACATGCAATATATGGTCTTCATGACTTACTGTAATGGGGTGGGGGACAGGAAAGCCATCTTTCTGGTAATAGACTTCTCTACAATTTGATTGTACCTCAGATAACATACATATAGTTTTATCAGTGGACTGTCATTTGAATTTTTTCCAGATGAATGGGACCTGCCAGAACTTGAAGCCAGGGTTCCCTCCTTACTAATGAATTGAGAGTTATCAGAATAAGACTCTTTTTGAGTAATAAACACATAAGAAACAACCATGTGTCAGGCCATGAAATGAAGGGG